TGACGAGAAAATTCGAAATGAAAAAATTCTCGCGATTAATCGATCGATCGAAATCTTCCTTCCTCCCCTTTTTTTTACATCAATCAATTTCGAATTTCGAAAATTCTTGACGAAAAAGATCTCCTCCCCCCCTTTCTCCCGTTGTACTTTCTCGTTAATAAATAATATAATAATTCGATTTTAATTCGCGTACACCAATTACAAAGCGGAGAGGTTATCCCGCCTAACTGTATCCCAGTTTCTTCTACGTTCGAATGAAATTCTCGAGAAACTACTTCCTGATTCGGCTGGCTACCACCATCTGACCGAGCGAAAATCTTGCGGAGCGGCGAGGAACGAAAACGATCCTCCTAGGGATTCGACTCGGCCACGCAATCCCTGAAACGGGAGAAAACCAGATCTACTCTACCGCCTAGGATGGGAGAGGAAGGGGGAGGAAGAAAATGGACGTCATTTCCGATAATATTATAAAAAGGGAGAAAACGTTTTAACGTTTGATTTAATTCAAGAACGAAGATTCGTTTCGAAGAAGGGGTCGCGAAGGGGGTGAAAAATTAACGTCCCTCCTTTCGTTTCGCGATGGAAATTCTGCCAAAATTTCTTCCCTCCGACCGAGCGACGAGAACCAAATAGTTTCCATTCCAAAATGTTTGCGTAGCGACCACGGATGAACGCTTGAACCGGGTTCCCAACTTCGAAGTCGAGGCGAGAATTGCTCTGCGAAAATTCGTCAAACTCGAGTTTCTCCCTCCCATTATTTTCTCGACNAGAAAATCGAACCGAAATAGAACGAATTCGATGTCGAGATATTTTTTTATAAAAGCGGAGAGAAAGAGAGAGAAAAGGAAAAAGGAAAAAAGGTAAAAAAAAGAGGAAGCGCAAAAAGTGATCGAGACAAAGTCGACTTCCGACTTCCGTTTTCCGGGACCAAGGTAGTCAAGGTCATCTCCGTTCCTCCTCATCGAATTGCCCCACTTATCGCCACCGATTGCATAATCTCCCGCGTTACCTCCTCTGGCAAAACTAATTTATTACTCAAC